ATAAATCCAAAGTTTGCAACAGTTAATTTGTTGCAGGTGAATGAAAGTTCTGAAACCCAGACCCCATTCTCAACAAGCTTGCATATAGAATTCCAATGAGTCCAGTGCATTTGCTTCCTTTGACTAGACCAAATGAATCAATTAAAAACTCTCTCCAGCACTAGTTGAGTGCTCTTTTTCATATTGGCCATTTGGAGGATGTAAGAGGGGAAAGCTGCTAAGACATGTTTTAGGAGAGTAATTCTTCCACCATTAGAGAGAAAGGAATTGGTCTAACTAATAAGCTGCTAATGAATTTTGGAGACCACCTCATCAAATTGAATCTGTTTTGTTCTCCCTTTAATCAAATGAACTCCCAAATACTTTAAAGAGGAAATATTAGATTGAAACCCAGTAAAGTTGGATATCCAATGCTTAACAAGTGGTTTGAACAATTTGCTGAAGATGATAAGGCATTTTTGATTATTTAATTGCAGTCCAGAACAGGCCAGGAAGTCATGCAAACATTTAAGAATCTGCCTGACTGCAAGTTTCGTTGCTTTGGAGAAAAGGATGATATCATCTGCATATGATAGCAAGTTTCGTTGCTTTGGAGAAAAGGATGATATATGATATCATCTGCATATGATAGGTGACTGATGACAATCTTGGATCTATGATTGAATTGAGTGTGAGGGGAATTAGTTGATATGATTAAGCATTCTGGATAGATAATTAAAGATCAATATAAAGGTGGTGGGTGAAAAGGGGTCCCCTTGTTTGATACCTCTAGTAGCTTGGAAATAACCATGAGAATTGCCATTAATAAGCAAGGAATGATAATTGCCATTAATAAGCAAGGAATGAGAACTATTGCTGAGCAATCTCAAAATTAGATCGAAGAAATTAAGAGAGAAACCTCTTGCCAGCAGTACCTCCTCAATGAAACCCCAATTGATTGTATTATAAGCCTTGCTGATATCCAGCTTGTAGATAAAGTTCCCTCCTGTACAAATTCTGTCCAGATCCTGTAACATTTCCTGCGTAAGCAAAACATTGTCTACAGTGCTTCTGCCCCTTATAAAAGCTGTTTGGTTAGGACTGATGAGCTGATTCAAGTGAGTTTGAAGCCTGAAAACAATTACTTTACTGATAATTTTTGTGATGAAATTAGTTAAACTAAGGGGTCTGAAATGGTCCAGCTATTACTGTTAGAATCTTTAGAGATAAGAGTGATTGTGGATGGAGTGAAATACTTAAGGGGATCAACACCTTTGAAAAATTCCTGAACAACACCAATTATCTCAAGCTTAATAATAAGCCAAGCCTTCTTATAAAAATCAACAGTATAACCATCTGGGCCAGCCACCTTGTTACTGTCAATAGAGTCCAGAGCAGATTTGATTTCCTCTTCTATGGGAATATATATAAATATATAAATATATATATATATATATTCCAAATTTATTTTAAGTAATATTTGTTATATATAAGACATGATGTTACCTGTTCAAGTGTAAAAGTTTTATCATTTCTAGATTGTGACATACATACACATAAAAATTTCCTTTAACGACCATAAATATTAGCATCCTAAAGCAACTTTATTTTGAAACTATTACAAAATACTTAAAATAGAAGTAGTTTTCTAAATATTTTATTAAAATTAAATATTACGTATGTTTCAATTTAAAATTCAACATTTAAAAGCTAATTTAATTCTCATTTCCTCTAAAATTATAAATAAAAAACTCTACAAAATATTTTAATTTATAATGGTTATCACATAGTTTGGCATTCTAATTAGTCTATTGGGAGCCAATTTGATTTTCTTACCTATTATTATGCTACTTGAAAAACCCTACTTCATGAAGTTATAAGTATTGTGATAGAAGGATAGGGTTGATGCTTCAGGTGTCACTATGAATGATGTAGTAATTGTATCCTTAAGTAAATCATTTAGTAAAATATTTGTAACCATCAAGTTAGTTGATTATGATAATAGAGGAAGACATATATCTTATAAGTGGGTTTGTACGTTAATTCCAATTCTTAGTAAACTCATAATGATGGGATATGTCAAATGTATTAAATAGAAAAGCATAAAACATAATAGGAGTTACAACATAATTAACGTATAAACCCACTTATAGAAAAGCATAAAACATAATAGGAGTTACAACATAACTCTTAGTAAGTCTAATACATTTTAATTATCATGTCATACTTGGTGAATTCATATTTATAAAATTAGTATAAATTGAATAATAGCCCTTAATATTATTTTGACTAATTGAATGTTTTTGGAAATGTTTTAAGCAATATTATCACTATTTTAATGTTTGAAAGATCCCTTTAATCCTATTTTTAAACAAAATAAACTTAATATAATTATCAGAACATTATGCTTTTATATATTGATAGTGAAATACCTTAACTTCATCAATATTCCTTCACTTGTTCTAGTAAAATTCTTCAACTTCATCATTTTTCTTCTACTTAATGGATTCTACATTGCAGTAGTAAAACTAATTTAGTGAAGCTAAAGTATCAATAATCCATGTCTTTATATGACTTGTTGAGTATTTAAAAATTCAAGTGCACTATTTTGTATAATGATTGTAGCTTAAGTAATAATGATAACAATCATAGAAATGGACCAATGTCTCATACAAATGGATTATTTTACAAATCCTAATGTTTTATAAACCCTTTAGAATTAAAATGACTTATATAATGAAAATAAGGGTCGTTAATGAGTTAGAAGAAAAAAAAAAATAATTCTCAAGTCCAAAGTTCATATTTATCATGAAGCATTTAGTAAATTTAAAGAGTGGAAATTGACTAAGGGTCGTTACAGAGTTAGAAGAAAAAAATGAAAATAAGGGTCGTTACAGAGTTAGAAGAAAAAAAAGGGTCGTTACAGAGTTAGAAGAAAAAAAAAAAAAATTCTCAAGTCCAAAGTTCATATTTAATAATGAAGCATTTAGTAAATTTAAAGAGTGGAAATTGAGCATAAGTGAAATCATAATCATTGTTATTTTATTAACAAAATAAATATTTAGAAAAAATAATTTCAACAATATTATCATTAACGTACAAACCTTAAACCCTAAACCCTAAACATGTTAAGTAATGACGACATACATAAAGTGCTAACAAAAATAATATTACGTGGATTGTAGAATCATATTAATCCAATTGGGTTATACTAAACCCTAAACCCTAAACCCTAAATATGTTAAGTAATGACTACATACATAAAGTGCTAACAAAAATAATATTACATGGATTGTAGAATCATATTAATCCAATTGGGTTATAATTGATTAATTAATAAATAATGCTACTTAGTAGCCCTAATCAAGTTATTAAATTTGGTTGGGAACACACCAAGTATGACAAGATCAGGTCTGAGATCTAAGTCAATAATAGAAATAAAGATTTTATCAAATCTAACCACGAGTATTTAGTTCAAAAGTTTAGCCTGGTGATCATAGATACCATCAATTATGTGTATATTAGGAACATTAGAAAGCTTCTCAAAGAACTTATTAGAGAATAATGCAAGAAACATACACAAATGTTGTATTACCACAAAAGGTATGTGCTCTTAAAATTAAAGGTGCAATGAAAGGCTTACTAATATAAGGATAGTAAAGTCATAAAAATCTAAGGTAAATAGCTTAAAAGTTGAACCGAACAAATCTGCTCGGAAGTTTGCATTTTTCAAGTTTTGAAGTGGTTTTAAATATTCCAAAAAATCTCTTGAAGATGTATGAATTTGTTGGTTTAAACATAAACTTATCTTAATGATCTCTTAAGTTTGTTACTTTTTTATTTATGTAATTGAACATACCAATAATCTTATGAGTTTTGTCCTTCATTTTAGACAACTCCTAATAGATAAGTGGACCATCTTGTTGCGACGAGTTTTAAACATTATTAGTTAGTACTTAGATTTGAATTCTCTTTATCTCAACCCATGTTGGATCTGCTTCCATAAGTGTTGTTCCAATTCTAAGAAGTCAATTTCAATTTGAATTAATTTGAACGTTCCATAATAATTTTCCTTCCATAATATTTTTTCATATTGCTATTTATATTTTTAGATTAAATAGATAATTTAATTATTTCAAATAGATATATTTTTTTAATTTTTACATTTTTGACTTTATATGTGGACAATTTAATGATGTGACGGGCTGCATGATTAAAAAATGCATAATATGTAATGTTGTGCATTTAAAAGTAAGAAAAACAAAGATATGATAAGATAGAAAAATAAAAGAAATAATGCTAAATAATTTCAATGAAGCTTGATTAAAAACAATTCTTCTTGATTAGGTAAGCAACTGTGAAACACTTAATAAAGTCCCAAACACTATTTTTACAGTTTAATTTTATTTGACAAAACAAGTTTAGAGTTTAACTGCATAAATCACACATAAATTCTGTGCACAAATGAAACAAGTGTATGGAAAAGCTTTATAAGACATAAATTATCAACACCAACCTGTTTTCACAACTTAAAATAAATTGGAATAATATTACTATTATTCTTTGAAAATATATTCAATAGATAGCATGAAATGTTTTCATGTGAATCACACCAATAGATTAGGTGGACCTCTCATGAATCAGAAGGTGAGGTATGTTTAAAATAAAATTAGCTAGATTTTTAATGGGTGTTCCTACTAGAAAAATGAAAAATTAATCTTAATTATGAGAAAATAATAGGAATAAAACTTCAAATTTTATGTTATAAAATTTCATTCAAAGGGATGCAAGCAAAATTGTTTAGCAAATCGCACAAATATATTATATGGAGCTCTCATGTAACAAAGAAGGGATGGATTCTAAAAGATGATTAGTTTCATTGTTACATGGCGTTTGCCCTTGTAGAAATGACAACCTAAACTACTTAGAACTACAAACATAGCACGCACAAATTAAAGTATGAACTTTAGAAGCAAAGAAGAATGAAAGGTTACCAATGGCATTGACAAGCTTTGCAAAAAGAAAAAACCTTGATTTAAAGAAACTTGTTTGTGGATGAAAACATTACAGAAGTTTCGAGGGAAAATTGAAACATAAAATTTTGAGTTGTTGGGTTTCTTTTAAAGACAATAGAGGATATTTTAACTCTATTTATTTCTGGTAGAGAATAATGGAGAGGTTTTAAAATTTTCCAACAAACCTAATATTACCAACTGTGTCATTTACCGGGCTAGGACTAACAAGCAGGGCAGCCTGAACTTTGATAAATGCAGATGAGTTGTAGTGAGTGATTGCTGGTTTATTATCCATGAGAGAGAATATTTGTGAAGGAAGATAACAAGAACCGCTCGACGCATTTCCACCATATTGGAAAAGAGCCGCCTTGCAGGAGCAATTTCTCAAGCAAGCCTGTTTGCAGCTCTCTATATCAGCCATATTCATTGTAATGGCAGAAGGATCAATAGAATTGAAGTACGAAACACTGTCTAACTCTAAAAATTGGTGGCTTTCAATCGACTTGCAGGAAATAGGTGTCACAGCACTGCAGCCTAAATTGATTTCCCTTGAATTAAGCGGCTTAAAGTAATTAGAATGTCCATCAGCACTTTGAGGACAAGTGCACTGCCCATTTGAGCAAATCCCATACTGACCACAAACAGTAGGATAAGCACAATCATCAGGAAAAATATCAAAAACTTCGGCCAAATATTTCCACCCATTATTCCACCCATAGAGTCTAAAGTGCCCATTATCTTCCAATCTCAAATATTGACAGGACGAATCCGTGGGTAAAGTGATTGAAATATCGGGCACTCCTGGTTCGAGAAATAGCACAAAAATGTCGAGGCTACCATTATTGAATGTCACAAAAGTGGACTGGTTTTTGGATTTCGAAGATCCGGCGAATGTTTTCGCGTAATAAAGTTGTGGAGGATTCGAATCAATAAAAGCATGCAATCCATCATCAAGAATTTCAACATACAGCTGACCTGTAGTAGCGTTAGTAGCAGAGGAATTCGCCGTAAGCCTCTGCCCTTTGCTCAAGCTCTGACCTAACAGCAAAGAATCGGTCGGGTGATCAAAGGAGTCCCAAAGTTGCCTCCCTTCCCGATTCAAAACTACGAGATTGCCAGAATCCAATAAACTTAGGTTTTCCGCACCATGGCCGGAGGTGCTGGTGGACCAGATGACGCTGCTATCAGCGTCGCGGAGGATGAGGTCGCCGTCGGAGGAGAAAAGAACAGTGGCGTTGAGGTGCGCGGGACGGTTAGGATTTGCCGACCAAACGACGCGCGGCGGGGCGATGATTAGGTTGGTGATCATAGAGGCACTGTTGGTGTAGACGATGTAAATGGAAAGGAGGAAGGTGGAGCAGGGGGCGTAGCAGAAGAAGCCGAAAGCGAAGGAAGGGCCTAAGTTGCCGCGGAGAAGAAGGGGGAGAACGGTGGAGCCGTCGGGGTAGCTGATATTGTGGGCGAGGGAGGGGCCGAGAGTCCATAGGGTGGAAAGGTTCGCCGTGGGGTAGTCGAAGCGTTGGGAAAGGGTGAGGGGGAGGAAGATAGACATGGAGGAGGTGAAGAGAAGGAGGAGCAGGGAAGCAGATGCCATGGCGGCGAGCGAGATTTTGGTCTGATTGGAACTCGGCAAATGGGATTCTAATACTTCGAATCCGTTGAGTTGGCGGAGGTGACAACTCAAATTTGGACTTTGTTAAAGTCAAATTCGGATAATTATTGCGTCTGGGGAGACCTGCAAGCGGCTTCCGCCATGGCGTCCCAGCGCGTGCATTTGCTGACTTTTCTGAATGAAATGTGCATTTGCTGACTTTTCGGCTCTGTAGCCAAAATGGATAACAATCATAGAATTGGACCAATTCCCTCTTACAAATGGTGTATTTCACAAATCCTAATGTTTTATAAACTCTTTAAAAACAAAAAAGACTTATATAATGAAAATAAGTGTCCATAATAAGTTAGAAGAAATAAAATAAAATAAAATAATTCTCAAGTCCAAAGTTCATATTTACCATGAAGTATTTAGTAAATTTAAACAGTAGAAATTGAGCATAAGTGAAATCATAATCACTGTTATTATATTAAAAAAATAAATATTTAGAAAAATTCATTTCAGCAAACTTATCATTACACGTATAAATTCATTTTGGCACATGTAAGTAATGACTTCATACATAAAGTGCTAACAAAAATAATATTTACGAGGATTGTAGAATCATATTAATCCAATTGGGGAGAGGGGACAAAATCAGGTCCGAGATCAAAATCTAACAACGATAGAGGGGTGTATCTATCACCACGGATGACAAAATCAGGTCCGAGATCAAAATCTAACAACGAGTATTTAGTTCAAAAGTACAGACTGATGATCATAGATACCATCAATTATGTGTATATTAGGAATAGTAGAAGGCTACTCAAAGAGCTTATTAGAGAATAATGCAAGAAACATACACAAATGTTGTATTACCACAAAAGGTATGTGCCCTTAAAATAAAAGGTGCAATGAAAGGCTTACTAATATAAGGATAGTAAAGTCATAAAAATCTGAGGTAAATTAGTCAACAGTAGAACCAAACAAATCTACTCGGAGGTTTGCATTTTTTCATGTTTTGAAGGGGTTTTAAATATTCCTAAAAATCTCTTGCAGAGGTATGAATTTGTCGGTTTAAAAATAAACTTATCTTAATCATCTCTTAAGTTCATTTATTTTTTATTTATGTAATTGAACATGGCAATAATCTTATGAGTTTTGTCATTCATTTTAAGCTTCAATTATGTAGTTCTCCTCCAATCAAAAGAAAAAGACAATCTCCTAATAGAAAAGTGGACCATCGTGTGGCGATGAGTTTTAAACATTAGTGTTGTTCCAATTCTAAAAAGTCAACTTCAATTTGAGTTAATTTGAACATTCCATAATATTTTTTCATATTGCTATTTATTATTTTAGAATAAATAGATAATTTAATTATTTCAAGCAATCCATAACTTTTTATAACATTATGCTTCTCTCAACTGCAAAAGTTTTAAGTTTGTGACTTTATATATGCATAATTTAATGATGTGACTCGCTGCATGATTAAAAGTACATAATATGTAATGTTGTGCATTTAAAAATAAATAAATAAAATAAAAAATAAAATAAAATATATGATAAGATAGAAAGATAACCCATGTAGAAATGACAAGCTTTGCTAAAAGAAAACATTAACAGAAGTTTCGAGGGAAAGTTGAAACATAAATCTATGAATTGTTGGGTTTCTTTTAAAGACAACAGATGATATTTTAACTCTATTTATTTCTGGAAGAGAATAATGGAGAGGTTTTAAAGTTTTCCATCAAACCTAAAATTACCAGCTTCCTGATATTTCAAAGAAAAAAAATAATTAATTAATTTTATTACAAACAAATATCATAAAATTTAACCTTCATAAATGATTTAAAGAAAAGACTTTTAGCTTGTCTTGCATCATACACTTGCCTATTTACCATAGCGAATTGAACTCAGCTGTACCCTTTGATAGCTTCAATTTGAATGTGAGTTGAAGATTTTTACCTACCAACTAGCTCTGAATATTGTTCATTGTTATCAACGAGACTTGGAGAACCTATCTCAGGTAATTTTATTTGTGCATAATCATTACCTAGCAAATCATAATCTATGTTAACATCCACATCTGAGAAGCCTTCCAAAACCTTCACAACCATGGACATAGAAGGCCTTCTATTGCAATCACTCTGTAGACACCATACAGCAAGTCTCATCATCTCAAGGACTTCTTCCTTGCGTGCTTGCATATCATTGCTATTTTGATCAAATAATTCTACTAACCGATCATCTTTCAACTTTTCTTGGATTAAACCAACTAAATTTACAGCTTCTTCATTCAAGGAAGGTTCGAGATTCTTTCTTCCACAAATGATCTCCAAGACAACGATACCGAAACTATAAACATCCACTTTTTCAGTAATTATTGATGTCAACCACTCCGGGGCTAAATATCCAGGTGTTCCTCTCATTCTGGTCATAATCTCACTTTGATCCCGATCAATCAGTTTAGATAAGCCAAAATCTGCAACCTTGGCGATGAATTTTTCATCTAAAAGAATATTTTGGGGCTTAATGTCCATATGAACAATCGTATGCCTGCATCCTTCGTGGAGGTATGAGAGCCCCTTAGCTATGTTAAGAATGATGTTACATCTATTTCGCCAGTCTAGGGCAGAATCTTTTGTTTTTCCAAATATCCATGTGTCAAGTGATCCATTGGGCATGTACTCCATGACAAGAAGTTTGTGAGACTTCTCAACACAAAATCCAACTAGACTAACAAGATTTATATGATGGATACTACCAATTGTCACAACTTCTGCCAAGAATTGCTTTTTCGCCTGACCAACACCATCCAGCCTCTTCACCGCAATATTAGTTCCATTGCTCAATGTTCCCTTGAAAACAGTGCCAAATCCTCCTTTCCCGAGCTTTTCTTCGAAGTTTCTTGTAGCAGACTTCAGTTCCTCATATGAAAATCTAGACGGCATTCCAGGAATTTCATCAAATTGATCTTCTTCTTCTTCTTCCAGCTGCTTTGCTCTTCTTCTCACATATATGATGATAAAGGCGACAATTAAGCCCGCCACTATAAAACCTGATATAAGTCCAATTACAAGCTTCTTCCTCCAACTTTGAGTGGTCGTGGTTCCTTGAGAAGTGCCTGAACCAACCGTGTCATTTACCGGGCTAGGACTAACAGACAGGGCAGCCTGAACCTTGATAAATGCAGATGAATTGTAGTGAGTGATTGCTGGTTTGTTGTCCATGAGAGAGAATATTTGTGAAGGAAGATAACAAGAACCGCTCGACGCATTTCCACCATATTGGAAAAGAGCCGCCTTGCAGGAGCAATTTCTCAAGCAAGCCTGTTTGCAGCTCTCTATATCAGCCATATTCATTGTAATGGCAGAAGGATCAATAGAATTGAAGTACGAAACACTGTCTAACTCTAAAAATTGGTGGCTTTCAACCGACTTGCAGGAAATAGGTGTCACAGCACTGCAGCCTAAATTGATTTCCCTTGAATTAAGCGGCTTAAAGTAATTAGAATGTCCATCAGCACTTTGAGGACAAGTGCACTGCCCATTTGAGCAAATCCCATACTGACCACAAACAGTAGGATAAGCACAATCATCAGGAAAAATGTCAAAAACTTCGGCCAAATACTTCCACCTGGGCATTATTCCATCCATAGAGTCTAAAGTGCCCATTATCTTCCAATCTCAAATATTGACAGGACGAATCCCTAGGTAAAGGGATTGAAAAATCGGGCACTCCTGGTTGGAGAAATAGCACAAAAATGTCGATGCTACCATTATTGAATGTCACAAAGGTGGACTGATTTTTGGATTTCGAAGATCCAGAGAATGTTTTCGCGTAATAAAGTTGTGGAGGATTCGAATCAATAAAAGCATGCAATCCATCATCAAGAATTTCAACGTACAACTGACCTGTAGTAGCGTTAGTAGCAGAGGAATTCGCCGTAAGCCTCTGCCCTTTGCTCAAGCTCTGACCTAACAGCAAAGAATCGGTCGGGTGATCAAAGGAGTCCCAAAGTTGCCTCCCTTCCCGATTCAAAACTACGAGATTGCCAGAATCCAATACACTTAGGTTTTGCGCACCGTGGCCGGAGGTGCTGGTGGACCAGATGACGCTGCTATCAGCGTCGCGGAGGATGAGGTCGCCGTCGGAGGAGAAAAGAACAGTGGCGTTGAGGTGCGCGGGACGGTTAGGATTTGCCGACCAAACGACGCGCGGCGGGGCAATGATTAGGTTGGTGATCATAGAGGCACTGTTGGTGTAGACGATGTAAATGGAAAGGAGGAAGGTGGAGCAGGGGGCGTAGCAGAAGAAGCCGAAAGCGAAGGAAGGGCCTAAGTTGCCGCGGAGAAGAAGGGGGAGAACGGTGGAGCCGTCGGGGTAGCTGATATTGTGGGCGAGGGAGGGGCCGAGAGTCCATAGGGTGGAAAGGTTCGCCGTGGGGTAGTCGAAGCGTCGAGAAAGGGCTAGTGGGAGGAAGATAGAGATGGTGGAAGTGAAGAGAAGGAGGAGCAGGGAAGCAGATGCCATGGCGGAGAGCGAGATATTGGAGTGATTGGAATTCGGCAAATGGGATTCTAATACTTCGGATCTGTTTAGCGGGTGGCGGGGGGAGATTGTCCGGGTCTTGTACAACTCAAATTCGGACTTGTAGAAGTTAAATTCGGGTATTTATTGCGTTTGGTGGACCTGCAAGCGGATTCCGCGTTGGCGTTCCCAGGCACGTGATTGAAATGTGCTTTTGCTGACTATTCGGCTCTGTAGCCAGCTATTTGAAAAAGCAATTCTAACTCTAAATTCTAATTTAAAATAAAAAAATACTAAACTTTAGTATACATATAAATGCATCAATTTTAGATATCAATTCAAGATAAATTTTATCACATAAAACAAATAATTACCTATAATCATAAATAACAAAAAAGAAGTATGTTCATTTAATCAGAACATATATATATATATAATATATATATATATAAATATAACTAAGAATTTGTTAATTTTATTAAAAGTTAAATGCCCTTAAATTTGATATGATTCAAAAAATTAATATCATTAAATATGAATTTTCTTTCAATTCTTCTCTTATAAGAAGGCTTAGAATTAAATTGAAAAAAAATAAAAATTATTTCAAAACTCATCCCTACATTTTTAGCAAGTTTTTAGCTAAGATAATTCTATTTGATAAGACATCCAATGGAAAAAAAAAATATTCAAGTGAATCCAAAAAGTTTGAACAGTTAATTGTCTAATTCGAGAAGAATTGGACTTGTTTACTATGGTCAAAATGCACATACCCCTTCAAAGCAATTTGTGATGAGCAGCCTTAAATTCCTCACTTGATTAGGAGCCACAATGAGGTATTGAATTGTGTTTAATTCATTAGGATGAATTCAAAGGCCAAAATTCTTAGTAATTGGAACCTCCAAAAGCCATGAAATCATGAATCATCTATGACTTTTGGTTGCTATCCCGAAGATAAAATACTATGCCTAAGAAAAAGCAAACTTTTGTCGCCATTTTCTAACATACCTAAATTAAAATTAAGCACTTAATTAAATTAAGGTGACTACAATATATCCCTATTTTTCAAATCATAGTAACATTTAATTTCAATTACAGTAAAAAAAAATTAATGTCAAGATTGCATATAATCACCGCCATATTTTGATAATATGACTTGTATTAAAGTTTTGTTTTTGATGATTCCACTATTGGATCCTTAATCCATCAAGTCTTATTTGCTTGTAATGTTGGGTGCTTCAAACTCTTATGAAAACCACAACACTCAATTTTGCAAATCTACGGTGGCATTATGATTAGGTCCTTAACACAAACAAATTAATGCCAAACTTCTATCAAATCATTACCTTATTTTACTTGAATGATTCAACTATTGAATTATTCTACCTTTAGCACTACTATGGATGTCTTATGTGAATATTATATAGGTGCATTGGTTAATTGATTGGAGAATTTGATGTCAATGTCCAACATTAGACCGCTATTATTAATTGCTCAAGCTAATATATGCCTAATCTTACATGCATGATCCTCCCACCACTTTATGAGATGAGGAAGGATCAATTTGTGTTGGTCAATATGGAGTGATGTGGCATAAAATGTATAGTGTACCAATGCAAAGAATACAAGACCAACTACTAGATTGAAAGCAGATATAATGGAGAATAATTAATGTACAATGGCTAGAAGAAAATTATAGCTTAGATTTTATTAATTATTAGTGTTGCAAATGAATTTATTTTTATGTTTATGTAGTTTTCATGTGTTTTATTAATTTATAGTGCATTTGTAGCATGATGGCTTGAGTGTGTGTGTGACAACTTGTGTATGCTTAGCTTGAAGGAGTGGTTGACTATGCCAGAAGGGAGTGCTTAGCATAGTTACTCTAAGTGTCATCCCGAAACCTCCCTTAATCCTCCTCATTTTCTCCATTTAAATTATGTGAATAGTTAGAGTGTTATGAGAACTATATAATGTGTTATTATTACTGGAATGAGGAATTTTTTTTCTTTGAATAGAAGTCATAAAGAGGTTCCACTTGTGATCTGACTTAATGCTCAACTATGGTAAGAAGAGGTTGAGTTGTCTATCCAACCCAAATCACTTTAGTGAGTGAATTGAATTTGTATTTCTACAAAGTTCTATGTTTTAATTGTAAGGAGTTTTCTTATCATTTTTTACTTACCACATAAATTAAAATTTATATATTAGAAAAAAATCCTTACAAATGATCTTCTTAAAATTCAATATAGCAGTTGGCCAACATTGTGTATAAAACAAACCAATTTTATTATATATCACTTTGGTGGCCTTATATATTTATGAAAATTGTGGAAAAATCCAACAATATTTTTACAAAATTTCCTAACCATAAACAAGTGTTATTCTTGTATTTCTTGTGCATAAATTTGTTCATAAAATTTCTTAAATTTAATATAGTATATTAAGCTAGATTATAATTTTTTGATATCTAATCTCATGATAAACTCCCATAATATTGTCTAAAAATTGTCAAAAATTTTTAAACCTTCTATATTTTTATTATATTTATAACCCAAACATTCCCACTTTGTTTAATGACCTAGAATTCTCTCAACTATCCTTTTTATAATTTTAATTTCTAACTAGTTTTTCCAGGTTGGACTATAGAAGTGCCTCCATATCAAATTTGGGCCCTTCAAACCCTATAACACGTTCCTAAAACTCTTCAAAAATAATTTTTAATCATATTTTTCAGCTTATCACTTCATCAAATTTGGTATTTGAACCCATGTTGGTGAATGAATAAATTATCTACTCAAGAGCACGTCACATAAATAATATAAAATGAGTAGAGTATCATTCTCACAATGATCATAATGAAAATTTTGTTAAGTACTTATTAATTTATATAACCCTAATTTTTATCCAAATAAATCAAAATGAAGTTAATTTTTAGGAGTATGGAATAAATTTATTTTTAACCGAAATAAAATCTAAAATCTAAATAAGTAAGAGATTAGCTTGAATTTAAGAATTGTCAATTTATTACACTTAACTCTAAAGTTGATATCAATAACAAGAGTGGTGGCAGATTATTTCTCATGTGTAGGGTTAGATATTCACCATTTATCTCAGAAAATTTTTATAATGATCAAATACATCTTTCAAAGAATAATATATTTCTCATAGGGATAAAAATGTTATCTTAAAATGGATATAATTACTCAAATGAAAAGAACCTTTAAGATTTATAGGTTTGTGGAACGAAGGTTTTTTCTCCTACCTCATTAGGGTGAAATGTGGTTAATTTTATTCTGAGATCTGGTATCCCTATGAAGGGAAGATCTATAGTTAATAACATCTTAGTACCTGTAGCTCCTGAGGATACTCTCAATTAAAATATTTGCATATATATTGCATAATTATTTGGTAAGTGTATGTGAGATTACATTTCAAGACTTAGAATGATAAACTTGAGGTTTGTGATGATTTATTGAAGGGTTGGGACTAATAGTCCAATGATGATATGTCATAGAAAGGCCCAGAAAAAGAATAAGCTAACTTGAGAAAAAAGCACCCCCTAGTGTTTACAATTGTGAATTGAATTTGGATTGATTCTCTTAAAGTTGAAAACTTGAGTTGATATGGTTTAATTTTGCTTGAAAGTTGGTTTTTGAGTTAATTTAATTTTATTAATTAAGATTTCTTTTTATGTTACGAATGTTTCTTGTTTGAACTGTGTTTTTAGCATTTTTATTTGAAATTGCTTGACTTTATTTAAGAATATTTGAGTTTGTTTACTTATATTTTTTGTTTACTTATTTGACATATATTAAGGTCATTTATAATTTATTATATTGTTACTTAAAATCATTTGGTTCATTTAGTTTAAAATTTAGTTGGAGGTTGCCTAAGGGTTCATTTGACGTTTCTTAAGGTTCTTAAATGTTGTCTTAAAATTATCTGATTTATGTTAAGATTGTTAAAAGTTTATTTTAATTGGTTTTAAAGCTGTTAAAAGTTGATTATGAAATTCTTTAAAGTTGTTAAATATCTCAACTTCCAACACATAATTGAGGGGCATCTCAACTTCCAACACATAATTTAGGCCAACATAATTTCAAATATGTGTTACAACACATTATTTAAAGTTGTTAAATATTTCCTACTCGTTGACATCGATCACAAGTTTTGATATAAGCATTAACATCTTTAAAGATTGTAGGCCAACAAAATTCAGATTATAAATTTTGTATGTTGTTTTATCAACACCAAAATGTCCCCCAAAATCAAAATTATGAAAATTTTGGATAATTTCATAAGTTTCTTCTAAAGACACACATCTTTGAATAATTAGATCCTTTCCTTGTTTATATATAAAAATGGGTCATCCCAAAAATAAGTCTTAGCTTCAGATAAAAATTTCCTTTTCTATTCGTATGTCATTCTATAGGGCATAATATCACTAACAATAAAGTTCACAATATTAGCATACCATGGAACACACCACTAATTAATATTGAACAATTCTTCATCTAGAAAATGTTCATTAATTTTTTTTTTCAAAACAAAGTGATTTTCTAATTCTAGCTTAAATAGATGATTAACAATTTGTTTCTCAGCTCCCTTCCTATCTACTATTTCAAACTCAAATTCTTGCAAAAGCAGAATCCATTTTATTAGTCTCAGTTTTGCATGCTTCTTTTTCATTAAATATTTAATACCAGAATGATCTTTATGCACAACACATTTTGTTCTAATTAAGTATGATATGAATTTATCAAAAATATATACTATTGCTAATAGCTCTTTCTCAGTTGTCATATAATTAATTTGAGCTTCATTAAGACCAACATAATAAATTACTTTGAAAATCTTATCATGTTTTTATCCTAAATTAGCTCCAATAGCATAATCACTTGCATCAAACATTAATTCAAAAGGTTTTTTCCAATATGGTGAAATAATTCCAATATTGTGAAACAATAATTGGTACAGTGACCAATTTTTCTTTTAATAGTTCAAAAGTATTTTGGCACTTGACAGCGACTTTTTATATGCTTAAAATATAAGATAAATATGGACGTAATAAATTTTTAATAGGTATAAACTCACACT